AAAGAGTGTTTTGCTGAATGTCTGCTAAATTTATTGAAGTCACTTGAAATGTTTAATATTCAGCATACCATGTGTGTATATGTAGATATATATAATTTTAAGGTTAAGTTGTTCAGTCTAAAAACTACATGTTTGGTTCTTATTTAAGCTTTTGGGCTAATTCTGTATATGGCACAGTGTTTAATCATCTCTGAAAGAAAGTGAATAAAGATATAATTTAAAAATAGAGATTATGTACTAAATCGTCTCTGACAATCTGACTTATTAGACAGCAAGCAATATATAATACTGAACAAGTAGTTCTTTATATTAAGAAATGGAACTTGGAAAATTTAGAACATGTAGGTTATTTAACTTGAGTTCAGTTTTTATGTGACTTTTTTGAAAATGCAAACAATTCTTTGTATTATTAAGTAAGTTATACAATATGCATGGTTCCTCAAATTTAGTTTTAAAATCTAAAAATGTCTGTAAAAAAGCAAATGCATAGATAATATATTCAGTTCACTTTGATGCCCAAAAATACCTCCAAGTAAAATGAAAAAAAAACCCTTAAGAGAATGTAGAATTTCTATAAACACAAAATATGTGAAGATCTATTTCTACTAATAAATACTGAAACAAAAGTAAAAAGAAAGAAAACAGGTGATCAGTATTAAGACTAGGAAGATAACACAAAAGATTACCTGTAACCTACATACTTAAAAAAAAAAATGTCAGTATAGGGAGCCAGCAAGTGGCCTGGTGGCTAAGGACACTGGACTCCCACAGGACCAACCGCGGTTTGAGTCCCAAACCTGGCAGCTTGCTTTCTCACTTTTTCTCTCTCTTGCTCTGTCCCTCTCTGGTCAAATTAAAATAAATAAATAAGTAAAGTTAAATAAAATAATTGTTTTAAAATCAGTATAAAATTAAAATAAAAGATGAAAATGAATATAGGATAGGAATAAGTGTTTCATTAGAAATTGCAATTTATTATGTTTTTGAGGGTGTTAAACTTTATTCTTTGGTTTATTTTACCATTTTGATTGTGATCATGTATGCAAATCCTGATAACCATTAACTTTCTCAAACTTAAAGTCTGAAAGCCTTATAAAATCAACTTAAATATTTATCTTATTAAGCAACTGCAAAACTTTAATAGGGCCTTTCTGTGCCAAGAGTATGTGTATTGTGAAAGTAAAATCTCTCAAAGCTAAATAAAATTTCCTCCATACCTTAGTGATTTCTAGAATATGCTTTAATGAAGGCATCCCCGGGACCAGCAGTTAGTGTAATGGCTATGTTGCTGAACCCCCATGTAGCTAACCGCGGTTTGAGTCCTGAACCTAGTGGCTTAAACTCACGCCAGGCATGTGTGCATGCATGCCCAAGATCCCAAGAGGAGAATGGAGGAGAAGGGATTGCGGTGTGGCCATCCCCCCTGCGGGGTGATTTCTCACTTTCTATCTCTCTGTCTCTCTCTGTCTTTCTGGCGAGCGCATGCGCCCTATAGCAAAAAAAAAAAAACATCCCCAATAGTAAGGAAAGTTCATGAGCAATAAACAGTAGAACTGTTTAAAAATTTCTTAAAATAAATGTAACAACCCAATTCTTTATTATAATCCTAATTGCAATGATGGCAACCAGTAAATACAAAAATGTAATCATACACCAAAAATGGAAATTTCTAGAAACCAAAAACTTAGTGTTATTTAAAAAAACCTTAGTATTATTTAAGTTGGATTTTTCGTTTTTATTTGCAATTTTGAGTCTTTTTTTTTTTTCCTAATTTGCTAGAGGGTATGTGCACTCATCAGAGAGACAGAGAATGATTGACGAAAAGAAAGAAAACACCCCCATAGGTGATAGCACAGCACAATCCCTTCTCCTGCATTTCTTTCAAGATTTTGGGTATGCACACATATGTGCCTACCATTTTTTAAAAAAGGTTTTTGCCATAGGGTACATGAACTCACCAGAGAGACAGACAGTGAGAGGAAAAGTGAGAAATCACTTCCTAAGAGGGATGGCCACACTGTGATCCCTTCTCCATTCTACTTCTGGCACTTTTGGGCACTCATACAGATGCACCTGGTGTGATTTTCAAGTTGCCAGGTCTAGGACTCAGACCACAGTCAACTATGTGGGAGTCTAGCACCTTAACCAATACACCACCTGCTGGCCCTGCCCGGCTTGTTTTTTTTTTTTTTTTTTTTTTTTTTTGAGAGAGAGAGATTTTTGCTATAGGGCATGTGTGCTCACTGGAGAGACAGAGAGAGAGACAGAAAGTGAGAAATCACCAGATGGCCAAGCTCCAATCCCTCCTTTTCCATTCTCTTCTTGGGATTTTGGACATGAACGCACATGTGCCCAGCGTGAGTTTTAAGCGGCTAGGTCCAGGCCTCAAACCACAGTCAACTATGTGGGAGTCCAGCAATGTAACCATTACACCCCCTGCTATTCCCAGTCTGGCATGTTTTTTAAGCCATCAAGTCCAGGACTTGAACCATGCTGATGGCCATGTTGGATCCAGCCACCTTACCATTATGCCACCAGCTAGATCACAATTTCGTATGTTATTTGGTAATCTTCCTGTATCTTTAACAACATTTTATACATTCTGAAAAGATATCCCTCATTTATATTTACAACATATAATACATATGTCCAGAGTAATACAATTTTCATAAGTGATCATTTTATTTCATTGCCACTACCTTATTCCTGTTCCTATTTTTACCAAGTGAACAGAAGTAGATGAGATTTGAAGCACAGGAACACTATTTCCTAAGGTGTTGGTTTTTTATCCTGACCCCTAATCTCCTAGACAAGTTTTTCTTTTTCTTTTAGAGATTCTTGCTCTAGGGCACATGCACTCACCAAAGAGACAGAAACCAAGAAATCAACTCCCAAGGGGGATGGCCGCCCTGCAATCCCTTTTCCTCCATTCACCTCATGTAATTTTGGGCATGCACGCACATGTGCCCAGTCTGAGTTTCAAGCCACTGGGTCCAGGACTCAAACCACGGGTTGAGTATGTGGGAGTCCAGCAACATAACCACTACACCATCTCCTGGTCCCAAGTTTTTCTGAAAAATATCTTATTAACATAAAATTCCATTAGAAGGGACCGATAGATGGCGTAATGGTTATGTTGCTGGACTCCCACATTGCCGACTGCAGTTCGAGTCCAGACACAGGGGCTTGAAACTGATGCCAGGTCTGTGTGCGTGCATCCCTAAAATCCTGAGAAGAGAATGGATGAGAAGGGACTGCGGCGTGACCATCGCCCCTGGAGGGGTGATTTCTCACTTTCTTGTCTCTGTCTCTCTCTGGCAAGCACATGCACCCTATTGCAAAAATCGCTTTTAAAAAAATTTCATTAGGAGAGATGTCCCCAAAAAGATAAATAATTAGAGTTACAAATTCGCTAGTCAGTCAAGTCTTCAGAAAGAGCATGTTTGAATTTAATAAAAGAGCATCTGAGAATTAATACACAGTAGCAACAAAGACTTAAACATATAAATCGAAGACATTTTCTTTCTAGAGCTGATTAATGTTTGCCTAAAACACAAAAGAACTCACCACCTAAGGTATATTCCATCAGTAAAGATGTAATTGAGAAAGTGATTTGAGGGCACTGTGTAATTATAATAAACATTATTCCATGCATCATTTTAATGTTACACTTTATGTAAACTTAAATACTTAGTTACTATGACCAAAAGCAAGTTAATGTTGCTAGAATAAAACAAAAGTCCATTATCTGAAGTAGCACTTGCTATCTCATGATATATGCATTCAAATCCAATGTTTTCTTTCTCAGTATTTCAGCAGG